ATCTGTCAGTCTCTGAAATGTCTGCGTCATTCTCTAGTTCCACCATAGTGGGAATGAAGTTATTTTTCTTTTAATTTTTAATTAATTAATTAATTAATTTTGTTTTTTTCGAGACAGGGTTTCTCTGTGTAGCCCTGGCTGTCCTGGAACTCACTCAGTAGACCAGGCTGACCTCGAACTCAGAAACCCGCCTGCCTCTGCCTCCCAAGTGCTGGGATTAAAGGCGTGTGCCATCACCGCCCGACTTAATTTAAAAAAAAAAATTGTTTGAAACATAATTTTACTAGGTAGCCCAATCTGGTCTGGAACTTCCAAACCTCCTGCTCATTCTTCCCAGAGTAGGATGTACACCACACTCTGAGGGGCCCTCGCCCTTTAAATATACATACAACCCTTCCATTTCTGTGTCTGTGTAAGGAATATAGAGCTGAAATACACCCAATGTAAAGACCTGCCTGCATCGGGATCTCATCCTTGGCTCTTAAATTCTTTCTGTCATCTCTTCTGTGATGTTGCTGTCCCCTGGAGGGAGTTCTTTAGATGCCCCACTTATGCGTTTATTCTTAACATTTTTAAAAAAGGTTTTTTTTTTTAATGTCTGTGAGTATACTGCTGTCTTCAGACACATCAGAAGAGGACATTGGATCCCATTACAGGTGGTTGTGGGCCATTATGTGGTTGCTGGGAACTGAACTCAGGACTGCTGGAAGAGTAGCCAGTGCTCTTAACCACGGAGCCATCTTTCTAGCACCTATTCTTAGGATTTTGACTAGTTATGAACTAGCTAAATGAGTGGGCTTCAAAGGCCAGGGAACAAACCTTAGATGCCTCTCTCTCTGGTCTATACTGCCCTCCACATCTGTCCTCAGCGGCCATCTAAGGCCTATGCTGGACATTTCCAGCTTTGCTATAACCTACCTTCCTGATGTTGCCACCAATGTAACTGAAAAAATGTGTGAATTTATGACTTTCTTTGTTATCCTACTGTAAACATTTCATGAAACTGGTACCACATCTGAACATAGACTTTGGACCGCAGTCACATTGGTTAACTGAGGTAATGTGTTCTTGTGTAACATATTTTAAAATGAAGGGGTACATATAAATTGCTCTCTTTCATGCTAAACAATGGACCAATAGTAACCATCCCTCTTTCTCTTGTAAAATCGGTATAGTCACGCAGCACAGACTAGCTGACCTGGCTTCCAACTTGAGATCTCCCTACCTCTGCTTTCTATGTGCTGAGATAACAGCTGTTCATCACTATACCTTGCCAATAGATTCTCTATTGCCAGTTTTTCCTCATATAAAAATCTAATAAACCAATTATGGTGCTGCATATTTGCTTTCTCCACACTCAGGAAACTGAACAGGAGGCTCTTGAGTTGCTTGCCAGCCTTGGCTCTCTAATGGAGGTCTAGTCTCAAAAACCAGCTTGCAGAGTAGATGTATAGCAGTTGAATATTTAACTTTTAAAAGGATTATTGAATCTAAGTATAGAGGTGTTCCTCTGTGGTCCCTTGTAGCTTTTCTGCTCTAATTGACACTTTTCTGTTGTCCTAAGGTGTGGGGGTGGTGAGAGTGAGTCAAAGGGAAAGATGAACAGAAACTTGGACCATTTTAAAGAATCCCAGTAAGCATGACAGAGAATAAGAACAAAAAAGTGAAGAGGAGACTATCCCAAAGCTAACTTGATGCTTTTGAAATCTATATGCTTCCTTGTATAAACAAAAATCCAGGGAATCCCGAAGGGCCGATGGCAGAAGGAAGAAAATGTTTTTAATCGAGAGGCTTAGATGAGTATTTCTTACAGCAGCAGCAGCAGTGTCTTGGCCCCATGGGAGGGATAAAAGGTCCCTGGCAGCCGTGGGCCTGTTTTCACACTACACTTGCTCTGCTTGGCTGGATACAGCCTGGGTACACATCAGGAAGTCTGATCAATTTTCTTAGCGTGTAGCTGTCTCCTCCATATTTAAACATTCCTTATGAAGGGAAGGAGGAGAAAGTAAGAGGTTGCTCATGAAGCAGACTCTTAAGAAAATTAGAACTCAGAAGAAAATCCTAAGACTTGTGAGGCATGAAGCCCATCACTGAGGTTATTTAGGCAGTAAACAATTGCTGAGGAAGAGAAGACTCTCCTGTGAGATTCCTTGCACTGTGTAAAATAAACCAATCTGTTCACAAAGCTAGATAAAGTTGGACTCATTTCTTTGGCCAGCACTTGGTGCATTACCTGGAGTGAATAGTGAATAGGTGTTAGTTCACATCCCTCTAAGAAAAGTCCCAATGCAGGTCTCAACAGGAAGGACGCCTTGTACCACTTCCGATTTCTTGTCTACCTGCATGGGCAGGATCAGTGCTGGTGGCACATAATGTTCCATGGCTCATGAGAAAAATGGTTTCTCTGTGATGTGAACACTTTCCTTTACCAACTTGACTGTTCATCTGCCTGTAGCTATAAGTGCTGGTGCGGTCATTCATTCAACATGCATCCATTGAATTCAAGGTGCCCAACGGACCAGTTTCCTATTGCTACTGTAACAGATTGTCATAGACTTAGTAGTGGCTGAAAATAAGAAAGGAAAAAAAAAGCATATTCTCACAGTTCTAGAGGCTGACAGGCTGACGTGGATGTGCTGGCAAGCCCTGCTCCCTCTGAGCTTCTAACAAAGCACCTCCCCTATTTCTGATGACCATTAATAGCCCTTGGTGCTCTTTGATTTGAGGCTGCAATGATCCAAATCCTGCCTCTACCTTCAGTTTCCCTCTGGGTCTATATGTTACAGGTTAAATTATGCCCCCTCCAAATTTTTATGTTGAGGTGCTAATTTGCAGAACCTCAGAATATGATTTTGTGGCTAGTGTTTTTCCAAAGTAAGTTAAAATGAAGAATGTAAATGCTCTAAAGGGTCTTTAATACTAATCAACTTACATGTTATAAAGAAAGGAAGTGGCTCACATATGTGTGCAAACAAACACTACACACACACACACACACACACAGAGAGAGAGAGAGAGAGAGAGAGAGAGAGAGAGAGAGAGAGAGAGATGAAGGCAGAGTCCAAGGTGATGCCTTTATTAATCAAGGACTGTCAAAGATGGAAAACCAGCAGGAAGGCCTTCCATCTCAAACAAAGCAACCAATTCTACCAACACCCTGATTTGGAACTTGTAGCAGCCAAGACTATGGGAAATACATCTCTCTCATTTAAGCCAATACAGTCATCATCCCTTTGGTGTCTGTGGAGACTCAGTTCCAGAAATTCCCAATAGATACAAAATCTAAGGATGAGGGCTGAAGGTCTAACTCAGTAGTAATACATCCACGTAGCATGTGTGACACCCTGTGCTTAATTCCCAGCACTTATAGAAACATCCAAGCATGCTAATATTCCATATATAATGTCCCTGCATTTGCACAAGACCTATATGCCCAATCCCATATACTTAACCATTGCTAGATTATTTGTAATATGGTTGCTATATAAATAGTCATATCATATATATGGACCAGGAAGATGGGAGTAATAAATCTGCACGTATTCAGTATGATAAGTTATAAGTTGCATGAATTTGTGCATAGTGAGTCTTTGATGGTGTGTTTTGTACTGTTGAGTATTACACTGAGGGCTTCAGATATGCTAGGCAACTCTTCAGACCTCACAAAAGATTGTTGAGTTGCAGATGGTTGAGTCCATGGTGAGCTTAAACTTTCCCCCAGTGCTAGAGAACAGAAAAGGTAAGGTCTTTTTAAACTGACCGTTTATATTTTCTGTCCTTTTCATATCCTACTTGCACATTTCACCAATAATTTAAAAACACCATTTGGCATTTTAAAAATCTATTCATAGAAAGTCTTTTATGTAAGGGGTACAATGTCTGCCATCTGTTTTGTCCAGTTCTCTCCCATTTGTCTATTCTTTCCTTAAAAAATGTATTGCCATGTCAGTCAGAATTTTCAGAATATTAAGTAGACCAATGTTCTTTAATGTTTTGGATACCCTGCCTAACACTTCTGCCTCATTAAATTTCACTACTTTCGTTTTTGAAACAAGGTTTAGTTATAAAGCTTAGAGTAGCCTGGAACTTGCAATCCTCCTGTTTCAACTTCCTGAGTTCTGGGTAGATAGGCCTGGTGATCCAAGCACTGGGGAGACTGAGGCAGGAGAATCTGGACTCCAAATGTGAGGCTGTTATGAATTTCGTATCGAGGTTCTCTTAAATATCAACTAAATAGGCACAAATACTCCCAAATTAAATCTTTATCAAACTTAAAAAAAATCTCTGCATTGGCTTGTTCCTTTTACTTCATGAGGCTCTATTTGTAGATTCTATCCGACACTACTCATCTGTTTGTCTGAGTCTTTACAATAGCATTATGTGTGTTTGTACATAGGTATTATATACATTAAAAAAAAAATAACCCAGGACCTCACCCAGGGTAACTAGGTGCTCTATTATTGAGCTCTATCCCCATTTCCCAATGTTTGTCTTTCAGTAAGTGAAATTCAAACATCTCATTCAAGGAAGAACTATAAAATTTCTTTATTATAGGGAGACGAGGCAAGCAAAAAGCTCTGGGCTAAGTGTAAGGTTCAGCAGCCAAACGACATCTGTGGTCGTGCAGATGGACTCTTTTCCACGTAAAAAGACCGTTCATATAGCAGAGAATGGAAGGCCAGCAGGGTAGTGGGAACAAAGGGTCTCTGTGGAGGAGTTGCCTCACCCGGAGGTGCGGGTTATCCACAGCCTACAAACACGGCTCCAGACCTGCACGACACCAAGGAAGATAACACCCGCAGGGCCTAGGCGCGGCAGTGGCGCAGCAGGGTGCACTGCAGAGCGCTCCACAGAACGCAGCGGCGCACAGCAGGAGCAGGATTGGGCCCAGAGCAGGGTAGGCGGGGCCTATGGAAGCGGACACCGGGAATTGGCTTTCGAGCAAAGGGTGGGCGGGGCCTCTGGAGAGGGCTCTCGCACTCGCGCAGGCTCACTAGAGCAGTGGGCAGGGTCTCATTGAGCCCGGAAGGCAGTAGGAGGCTGGGCACCCAGCATGCGGATGCGGGAGCGGGAGCCCGGTGGGCGCGGCCGCGAGAGCTGCTGACTGCGTCGTGGGATCCGGAGCCGGTGGCGGCGCGCGGAGCAGGTGAGCGCGAGAGGCGGTGCTGGCAGCTTCGGCGGGCGCTTCCTACTCGGCCTGGCCGAGCGGGCTCCGAGATGCCTGATGCCCAGGCCTCGGTCGGCAGACACCAAGCCGCGGTGGTCTCAGGGCAAGAGGCCCCGGAGAGAACGGGTGCGGGGCGGCCACCCGCAGCTGCGACCTCTCCGGTGCTTCGGCGCAGCGTTCGTGACGCGATCTGCAGTTCTCGGGCTTCGGACCTGTCCGAGTCTCAGTGCCGCTGCTGACTACGTCCCAGGCGGCCTTGGCCGAAATACTCCGGGGAGACGTGAACCGCCTATACGTACCTCTGGGGGTTTCAGGAGGCGGAGCTAACCTTGCCTTACGTGCTGGGTGGACTGGAGCTCCTGGGAACAGCCCGCTGCAGCATCCTTCCTGGCTGTGGCTGCTTCCTTGTGGCTGTTGGCTTTAGGGACAGATTTATTCCTGAACCGCTCTAGTGTTGCAATAAGCTCAACTCGAGTTGCCTGCTATCTTACAGCAGCCAGAGTAGGATTCTGTAGTCTCTTCATAGAATTATGTAGTTTCTTTCTTGCAAAGGCTGACTTGGAAACCTGTCTCAGGTATGGAATGAATTGGTTCAGTGAAACCCAGCAAAATAACGCTTTACTCAAGGTGAAAGATGGTGGGACAGATAGCTTGAGTTGATTTGCTGTTTAACCATCTAACGTTACATTCAATCTGTCACCTGTGACAGCGTGTAAACACAAGTCTGAAAAGCGCCTTGCACTGCAACCAATGCTCATCTCCTGTAAATTCCATTGTGGGCGGTGTTACTGTCTGGTGATGTCATCATAATTCGATTAGATAAGCACTGTTTCTGAAATACTGAATGGATGTTTGGAAACAGTTTCTTTCTAGTAAAAGCACAGTTAGTGATCTGGGGGTTGTTATTCTACTTTATAAGGTTTTATGCTAAAAGCAGACCTGTGCAGATCATGGTGAGGCTTAGGACAGAGTGGTGAGCGTTGGGGTCTGACTTTAGGTCAGAACGCAGGCATGGAACAAGTGAAAATCGAAAGGTATAATATGAATTATAGTGACCACAGCCAAAGTAATTTAAGAAAAAAAAAAAAAACTTGTTGGACCAAGACAGCAACTCCAATGAACTTTTAAAGTACTGAACTTGAAATGTGTAAGACCACAAGTCACAAGACTATTGGAACTTCTGGTCAAACAAACAAACAAACAAACTTGTAGTGAAACCTCAAATCAGGACCCTTGCAGGGGTGTTTTGAACGTGTTCTTAAATGTTATATGAGATTCGTTGGTGAGGGTCCCACTTCCAGATGGGATCTTGTGGAAAAATATTTCTTACACTCAGTGCCCTTTGTGCCTGTGGCCTTGTTGGAAAGTTGAACAGATTAGGAAGCGCAACAGGGTGTCACTTAAAGAGGCCCCTGTTACTTTGCTATCCCCCTAATGAAGGAGAGAGTCTAGCCAAGGTGAGCTCATTGGTTTGGTTACGACTTTTCATTGTGGAAGTTGTAGGACTGGGCTGTAGCAAGGTATAATCCTTATGTAGAAAACACTTTTAAAAGTTTCTCCTTGAAAACAGCACAGGAGTCCATGCTTTGCAGCCTGTCAGAAGCCACAATGCTGTTAAAAGAATTTGCAGGTTTTTTTAAATAGAGAGCTTTAGGTCTTTGGGGGCTGGAGAGACAGAGGCTAGGGGGCCTGCTGCTCTTACAGAACAGAGTCCCAAGGCTCACAACAACCTGTAACTCCAGTTGCAAGGGCTCTACTATCCTCTTATGGCCTCCATGGGCACCTGTACTCACACATAAGCACGCATGTGTGTGTACACATGCGTGTGCACTCTCGTTTGCTCACGAAACGGTAAAGATAATAACAAATCTTATTTTTTTATCAAGCCTCACTTAAAAGTGGATTCATGAACAAGGAAAACGGAATGCTTGTTAACTTTCCCTAAGGCAGCCCTTCTCCTATTTGGCCATATCGACAGAAAAAAAAAAAACAGAGAAACTAATTTTGTATTGATTTGTGAATTTGTATTTTGCCAATTTGATATACACAATTATAAATAGAATTTGCCAGTTGGTTGCTTACTCTGACCAGCTTTATATAATTTCCCCCTGAGATGTGCCGTCTAAATTATTGGAGAGCAATACATCACTAATTTCTAAATAGTCTGTAAATAATCATGCATGTATCTGTTGATAGTTTTAAATGGTTTTTAAAGATGTCAGCTTGAGTTTTTCTGGGTTTTGTTCTTTTGTTTGGTTTGGGGTTTTGTTTGTTTTTTTTTTATTATTCAAGACAGGGTTTCTTTGAGTAGCCCTGGCTGTCCTGGAACTCACTCCATAGACCAGGCTATCTTTGCACTCAGAGATCCACCTGTCTCTCCCTCCCAAGTGCTAGCAACTTCCCTTTCAACTCACTGTAGAAGACTCACTGTGTCTTTTATTTCATTTCTTTGTTTGGTGTTTTGGTTTTTTGAGACATAGTCTCTCTCTGTAGCTCTGACTGTCTTGAAACTCACTATGTACACCAGGCTCTCCTCAGACTCATGGAGATCTGCCTGCTTCTGCGTCACAATAACTGGGATCAAAGGCATGTGCTACCATACCCAATGACCCAATATCTATTATACTTGGATTAGAAAAGGTGTTAAAATTAAGGTGATCCTATATGTCATCTTTAAGAAAAAATTACTTTTACGTTATGTGTATACGTGTGGAGGTGTGTGTGCAGGCACTGGAGTGTAGATGCCCTCAGAGTGTTAGGACATCGGGACTTCCTAAGCTGCCTAGCTTGTGTGGTAGGCACTGAACTAGCGTTCTCTGAAAGAGTAGTTCACATTCTTAACCACTGAGCCATCTCTCCAGCCCCATGCTTTACTGAGTGCATCATAGTAATATTTGGAGCTCTTTATAATACAAAATACGTCAACTTTCTCAAGTTTGAGTGGTGACCTTCCTAGAACACTCTTTAACAGTTTTATAGCAAAATTTGAGTGACATCCCTTTGTTCCCTCTGATATGCTGAGAATATCTCCAGCAGTTATAGCACATCACTGGGTGTGTCCTGTTGTTAGGCGTAGAAACCTTTCTTCTCTAATATTTTTGAAACAATTTGTGGCAACTGACTTTTTCTAGCACAAGGGGTTGACAGTTCCCCCTCTTGTTGGTGAAGGGAATACGCCCTTGGACATGGAGGCAGGGGAGATACTTATTGAGGAGGGTGTTAAAACTAGAGCACACCTTGGGAGCAAAATACAGTCAAATCTATAAAAGCATTGCAGGAGTAGGCTGTTCACTGTAGCTTCCTTGTCTGCATCTCCTGTGCGTGTTAGCACACTTATGCTTCTGAGTAGTTCTCTAGCACCCCTGCCTTCTCCATGTAGTGTCTGCTGTGCATGTAAGCGTAGGCACACCTCTGCCTTATGAAATTTAACTAACACTGAAACAGTGCCCTCATTGCTTGGCCCTGGTCTCTGCTTCTAGGTGAGACTGCTGGATTGCTGAGTGAGGCCTGTTCCTGTGGGCCTGCTGGCTTATGTAAATGAGCGAATAAACTTTGCTCTCACAGAACAGGCTAGCATAGTCTTAGCTACTTCACAAAATTCACAATTTCTCTGGAGAAAAATGATTTAAATTATGTTAACCTTCTAAAATATACTATAAGGATTGGGTTTTAAACCTCACCCTGAATATTGAAGCTGCCATCCTGTTTGCTTTTACTCACCGAGCAGAGCTGTTTGTCTCAGCATTGAGTGCTCCCTGGAGCATGGCCTCAAACCCTCGGGCTCCTGTGCCCCAGGAAGACTCCTGGGACTGGGATGGCTCCTGGGGCTCTTACAGCTCTAATATGATGTAATATTCAAGATAAACTAGAATTTATGAATGTATAAACTAGAAATTATAAATGCTTGCCAGGCAGTGGTGGCGCACGCCTTTAATCCCAGCACTTGGGAGGCAGAGGCAGGCGGATCTGTGAGTTTCAGGACAGCCTGGTCTACAGAGTGAGTTCCAGGACAGCCATAGCTACACAGAGAAACTCAAGAAAAAAAAATTTTTTTAAATGAATAAATAAATTGTAAATGTTTAACATAGAAAAATAGATTGGCTGATTTGTCTGCTCAACTCTGTCTGAAAACAAAAGACTGCGCTTCTACTGTACGTAAATGCAGCTTCATCAGAACATATAGGCAATTTATGAAAGGATTGTAAAGTTTTTTAAAACAAGCCTTTGTAGCTGTCTTTGTTGCTTCCAACCTCTCTCTGCTGCATTTCTGCTTTTCTCTCTTCTGGCTGCTAATTGGATTGCAGACTGTTGCTAACCATGGCGTCTGGAGATGACAGTCCTATCTTTGAAGATGATGAAAGGTAAATGTCTTGTTTTGCAATAAAACTGGCCCTTGAAAGTTTGGGGTTTGTTAGGATAGGCCTGGAGAGTTCTGCATCTGTTGGGGGCACATTCTCTGTCATCACAGAATGCAGGCTCTGCTTCCTGACATGGAGGAGGGTAACGAGTGGATATGTCCACCTGTGTGGATATGCCCACCATAAGTGTGGCGTCCTCTTCCACAGACCCTTCTCAGTACAGAAGTCTTAGCAACCACTTGAAGATGATTCAGAGCATACAAAGTAAGAGATGAGAACGGGCAAAGAGGGAGATTCCAGAGGACAGTGTTGGAGCCAGAGTCCTTGGTTTACAGCCTACTCCTCTTGACACTGTCACCGTGCCCTGCTTAAACCTTGGGGGCTCTGTACCTCCTCTTTAAGGGACTGACAGCATCCTTCTCATGGAGAGGAGTCAGTGATTCAGTGATGAAACTGGTTCACAGAGAGCACTGGCCAGCCACAGTCAGCTGTGACCCCCGTTACTGCAGTGAGCATTACTACACAAAACTAATCAGCTATATCAGTGTCAAACTTCTTCCATGATAGTTTTTGAATGACAAATGAGAACACCCTTTTTTGATGTTATTGTTAAATTCCCAGTCTTTGGTTCTGAAAAGTGAAGAATTCTCTCTTGGAATTGATCTGACACACACACACACACACACACACACACACACACACTGCTAATTTCTGGGCTTTGTTGTTGTTGTTGTTGCAGAAGTAGTCATAAAGTAGAGACTTTCACTGACATTTTCATGTGCTAGACTAGCCCAGCCCAGCATGCTGTCCGGGATTAACTGTTACAGTCTTAATCGTATTAGTATTGAGGTGACTTTGGGATTATTAGACTCTACCTGTCATAGCAGCCTGTTGAGGGAAGAGCCAAGGAGAGCGGAAGCATTTACACGGGCTGTGAGTAGGGAGTGTCACCTTACCACCTCATAATTTTAGGGCCCTTGAAACACTGGTATTTTCATGCTGGGAGGATTAATTAATCATTCTCTTACTGTTTTGGTCTATTTTAATGGCTATTTTATTCCTCCAGCCCTCTCTATAGCCTGGAAAAAATGACAGATCTCGTAGCTGTTTGGGACGTAGCACTGAGTGACGGAGTCCACAAGATTGAATTTGAGCATGGGACCACGTCAGGCAAACGAGTTGTGTACGTGGATGGGAAGGTAGGAGAGCAAATACAACAGCAACGCTTGGTTTTGTCTATGTAGATTGCTTATATAAAGCAATCCAATGGCCATTACAGAATACATAGACTTTAACTTTTAATACCTAAACTTAGAGTGACTACCCTAGGAAACCTGGACAAGAAGTAATATAAATATAAATAAATATAAATAGTATTGTCATTTGAACAGTCTGAATTTTTTACGTTATTTTTAAAATTAAATACTAATTTTTCTCTGTGTTTATTAAACTGTATATATTCTCATCTAGGAAGAGATAAGAAGAGAGTGGATGTTCAAATTGGTGGGCAAAGAGACCTTCTGTGTTGGAGCTGCAAAGACCAAAGCCACCATAAATATAGATGCCATCAGTGGCTTCGCCTATGAGTACACGCTGGAAATCGACGGGAAGAGCCTCAAGAAGTACATGGAGAACAGATCAAAGACCACCAACACCTGGGTGTTGCACTTGGATGGCGAGGAACTGAGAGTTGTTTTGGGTAAGTCGGGGCTGTTTCTGCAGAGCCTTCAGGCCACTGTGATGCCCTGCTCTCCTGACTTTTGCGGACACTTTCCTAGTCGAAGGGAAGGGTCTTCATTTAGCCCACTGGGTTTTGCGTGTGGTGTCTTAATGTTCGGTTCGATAAGGTTGGATTTGAAGATTATGATCCTGGGCTTAAGAAGTAATATCAATCCAGGCATCTACTGTTTGGTATTTCTCTTTATAAATAAAAAGGCAGTTAGAAACTTAAGAACCCTCAAGAGGACAAGAATCTTCTGCAGGTAATAGTGGGGGTACAGGTCCATGAGTCAGAGCTCTAAGCCCAGTCAAAAGTGAGCTTTTTAAGACGTTACCTTCTCAGCCGGGCGATGGTGGAGTCCAGCACTTGGGAATCAGAGACAGGCAGACCTCTGTGAAGCTGGCCTAGTCTATAGAGCAAGTTTCAGAACAGCCAGAGCTACACAGAGAAATCCTGTCTTGAAAAACAGCAACAGCAAAAAAAGCACCTTTTTGTTATTCCTGTACCCCCATTTCCTTCTCATATTACTAAATGAAAATGGTGTAATAATCATCTTTTTTTTTTTTTTTTAAGATTTATTTATTTCATTTATGAGTACACTGTAGCTGTCTTCAGACACACCAGAAGAGGGCATACAATCTCATTACGGATGGTTGTGAGCCACCATGTGGTTGCTGGGATTTGAACTCAGGACCTCTGGAAGAGCAGTCAGTGCTCTTAACCACTGAGCCATCTCTCCAGCCCTGTAATAATCATCTTAATTTATGTATTTAGTTCATGTTTGTTAACTGCCTCTCAAAAGGAAGACAGTCTACCAGGTATTGAGGGTGCACAGACAAAAGGAACTTTGAGCATGGTGTGGTGGTCCGCACTCTAGCTGCGTGCTAGCAGATGGGGTTTTTGTTTGTTTGTCTGGATTTGTTTTGGTTTTAGACAAGAAATGTTTGTCACCTAATAAGTCACATAAAAACCCCAAAGCCAGGCATGGTGACTTCATACCAGACATTCCAGCACTTCAGTGATGGAGAACCTGAGGTTGAGGCCAATCTAGACTATGGAGTGAGACTGTGTCCTTTTATAAGAAGGGGATGGGGAAGTAAATTAAATAATTACTTACTGTAAAATGTCAGTTTGGTTTGAGGTGCCTCCATGTTTCCTGTAAAGTGGTAGCTGGAGAACTGTCAAATTTAGGTTTTATTGGACTTTCTGACAAAACCAACTTGAGTTTTCTGGTGTCTTGATGCACACACAGAGTTCATCGTTCTCTTTCTCTTCAGCATTAACAACTGTGTTAGTCAGCGTTCCCTAGAGGAACAGAACTAATAGGATAAAATATACATATTTATCAGACTGGCTTACTGCTATGCTCTGAGTATTCCAGACATGGTGGTCTTACACCGGGGAAGGTGAAAACACGGTTCATCCCATGAGTCTAGTGTCTTAGCAGTATCAACCTGGCACTGAAGGCCTGGAGGGGCTCGGAGAGCCACTGGAAGCCTGATGAAGCTGGATTCTGCTATCAGGGAAGATGCAGCAGCAGCAGCAGCAGCAGCAGCAGCAGGGAAGATGCACCACCTATCTAGAGTGAAGGCAGGCAGGCTGAACATCAGGGTCTGCCACTGGGAGGTGCTGCCCACATTTATCATGGATCCTCCCACTTCACACAACCTGAACTGTCACTGATGTGCCCTGTGGCTTACCTTCTAGTTGGTTCCAGATCCAGACAAGTTGACAGCCAGGATTAAACATTACAACAATTACTAATGCTCAATGCCTCGATCATCCACCAGTTGCTGCCAAGTGGTAATGCTTGGATCCTCTCATCCTTTGCTTCCTGGTTAGATGTTTGTCTAACAAGAGACTCCCAGTCACCTAGCTGTTGGGCTGCAGAGACCTACGTCTCATGTAGGAAGCACAGGGCAGCTTTGTTCTTCCTTTAGTCTCCAGCCTTCAAACTACGGACTTGTTTGCAACTTTAAACCATGTTAATAATAAGATGGAAACAATTCAATTTGCTTTAGTACATTGCAATTACCACTTTCATTGATACTTAAAGTGTCCCTTTTGGGGACAGGGGAACTTTATGTATGTGTGTGTTTATTTGTTTTGAGACTGGTTCTTGTTCCATCTCTTCTGGCCTGGTGTTAGCTGTGTCTCCCAGGCTGGTTGTAAACGTTTGTCTGTCCTTCTGCCCCTGCCTCCCAAGTGCTTAGATCACAGGTGTAAGCCACAAAAATGTGCTGTTTTGGACCCCTGAGGAGCTTGATAGAGTGGTTCCTTTGGCTATTCCTAGTGGGCTTTGGCAGCCACCTCCAGCCTCCTTCCTTTCGACATAACAGGACGACTGGAGCTGTTGTGAACATTTGTGCCTACACTTGGATATTGAGGAAAAAAATTATTTCAAGATTTCAATGTAATGTGACCAAATACTAAGAGTGTTCTCTCATCATTTCTTGATTTCCAGTGGGCAGAACAAGGAAATAGGTTGGGGATGGATGGATGGATGGATATAAAAGGTAGGGAACAAGGGTTGGTAATAGGACAGAGGGAAGAAGGAAAATAGAAGGGAGAAGAACAGATCTTTTCTGGTTTTGTTGTGAGACAGGGTGTCTCTGAGTAGCCATGGCTAGCCTGGAACTTAGTATGTAGACCAGGCTGGACTTGAACTCATAGATCCTCCTGCCTCTGAGAGAACTTCTCTTTGATGCATCTTCTGAGTTCATAATGATACTTGGTAGGTCAAGTTGAGGAGGATAGGTCTTACTTAACCTTATCTCACACCTTTTCCCCACACTCTGAATCCTCCTTTTTTAGGACACAGAGGATGGTGGAATATGATGGAATCACATAACTTACTTGCCTTTTGTCAAATTGCAGATATATATATAATAATTTCATAACATTATCAGTGCTGCCACCATGAACATAGTCACCCACAATGCTTTTATACTGTTTGTGCATCATCCTCCAGCTGTTCTGTGCTCTGCTCCCCTGCCAGCCCTCACTCACATGGAAATCAAGTCATTGTTTCAGCTTCTGTCAACGTTCCTGAAGAAGGGCTCGTGGAAACAGAATGTTGAATTCTAGAATACTGATAGCTTTATGGTTGTGTCTGTAGGAACAGGGCTTGGCGATGCTTGGCCAACCTGCTCTCTGCTGAACTCTGCCTTTAGGCCCCTCAAGGTGTAACCCAGTTGCTTCCTGCTCCTGTTACTGAGTGGTGCAGCCATGCTTTCCCTGCCATTATGGGTTGCATCTCCTCAAGCAACAGCCAGAATAACCCTCTCCTCTCCTATGTTGTTTCTGTCAGAGCAAGAGAGAAGCGAGTGACACAGACGCAGTGTCATCTGCAGGAAGTGTTGCGAGAACTCTGAGCCTTTCTACGCTGGTTGCTCTTATTTTCTCCCTTTTTGTGAAGGCCAATGATTTTACTAGAATAGCAAATCCTCCATCGTGTGAATGCTGGTTGATTCAGTATATGGTCAAGAGATTTGGAAGATGTTTCTGTTTATAATCTATGTCTATCACTCAAAATCACCCCGTTTCCATTTGCTCCATATTTGAACTATATTCTTATGTATAGTTCTTACTTATTTTTCCAGGCTTTCTTGTTGGCTTTCTCTTACTTAATTTGCTTTGGTTTTTCAAGACAGGGTTTCTCTGTGTAGCCATGTCTGTTCTGGAACTCTGTAAACCAAGCTGGCCTCGAACTCATAAAGATCTGCCTGCCTCTGCCTCCTGAGTGTAGGAATTAAAGGCATGTGCCGCCACCACACGCAGCCTGGATTTCTCTTTCTTGTGGAAAGTATGTGTGTATTATTTACATATCTGTCCATTTTTTCTTAAAATTTTCTTATTTATTTTATGTGTATGAATACACTGTCAATGTCTTCAGACAAACCGGAAGAGGGTATCGGATCCCATTACAGATAGTTGTGAGCCCTGTGGATGCTGGGAATTGAATTCAGGACCCCTGGAAGAGCAGACGGTGCTCTTAGCCACTGAGCCATCTCTCTAGCCCCTCCCCACCCCTGTTCGTTTTCTTAGGTCAGCATTTTTCTTATGTTCCCCATCCCTTGAGTTCCATTTTATGTGTATTGGTGTTTTTCCTGCATGTATGTCTGTGTACCCCATGTTTGTACTGCTGCAGAGGTCAGAAGAAGGCACTGGGTCCCCTGGAACTAGAGGTACAGACAGTTGTGGGCTACAGTGTAAATGCTGAGAATCAAACTCTAGTCATCTGGAAGAGTAACCAGTGCTTGTAACCACTGAGCCATCCATTCTTACACACACACACGCACACACACACCCACACCCACACACCCGCCCCCGCCCCTTTCATCCTTTTCCAGCGTGGCTGCCTACTGTTTACTCTCATGGACGCTGCCGGCAGCTCCCAATTTCATCTTGTTCCCTGAAGTACATCTTTAAGGGATTATTTCTGTGGTTGAAGAGATAAACATTTCTTGGCATCTAAGCTGCTGTTTTTCCTGAATATAGCAAAATCATTTTCCCTCAGAATTTATGAAGGTTTTAGTCCCCAATTTTATTTCAGTATTCTGTTCTTCACTGTTTTAAATGGATTTTGTGCCTGTGTGGTGACCTCCCCCCCCACACACCTTATTGAAGCTTTACTAGCTGGTTTTATCCATCTTTCTGAATGTCACTATGATGTGGTCAGAGATGTAGTGACTCACTTCATCCCAATACTTACTAGTGGAAATTTTAGTCTCGAGAGGTTTATAACAGTGGTTCTCAGCCCCTGGTTACAACCCCTTTAGAGGTTGCATATTAGATATTTACATTACAGTTCATAACAGTAGTATAAGTACAGTCATGAAGTAGCAACGAAATATTGGGTGTGACTACAATATGAGGAACTATATTAAAGGGTTGCAGCGTTAGGAAGGCTGAGAGCCTGGGTTAGAGAGCTAATGCATTTGAATATGCTGGCCTTTGTTTTTGTTTTCCATGTTGAGATAGCCTTGCAGTGCGGTGCTGGCTTGTTACTATGTAACATTGCCTAGATATATCCATGATCTTTTCACTTGTGCAGATTTTGAAAATTTGTATTCCAATGTAATCTATTTTTACTTCACGGCTCTGGATTAGCTGTGTCCCTCATGGGCATGTCAGCAAACCCTTCTAGTTAATTTAGATAATCTGAACGCGTGTGTATTTCAGTAAATAGACTGCCAGTTCTCACGACCCTTGTCAATAATCTTAGCACTGGGTGTTCAGCCACATATTGTGTGATCGGCTGGGTTTCCCTGCCTCTGACCATGCGCAAATCACATTCAGACAGCCTCTGGGGTGACCTGCTGCCTTCCTCCTGTCACATTTAGCCCTCCTCAGAGGCTTCTTGTGGTTTAAATGAGGTGCTCATCTGGCTCAGGATGTAGAGGGAAGACAAGCTCCTACAGCAGGTAGCCTGCCAGAGTCACACCTTCAGCTGGACCCTCAGATATGACCCCTGGGCATGACTTTGTCCTTGGATCCTAGTATCCATGCAGGTCACAAACATAGGCGCTCTCTCTCTCGCTCTCTCTCTCGCGCTCTCTCTCTTTCTCTCTCTCTCTCTCTCTCTCTCTCTCTCTCTCGCTCTCTCTCTCTCTCTCTCTCTCTCTCTCTCTCTCTCTCTCTCTTTCTCTTTCTCTCTCTGCTTCCTCATCTGGTCCCTTGTGACCACAGTCTTCCAGCCCAGTCTTAGGATACCAGTGTTGACAGGCAGTGTTGGGGACTACCCCTGCTGTGAACCATGGTAGCAAACTTCTGCCTGAGGATGCTGCAGTAACTGTGTGTTCCCTGTGTTCCCTGCTGTAGAATCCACCCGTGTGGTCTGTTTCTCCTTAGTGTCTAGGAGTTTATGCCACCATCCGGTAGATCTGTCCATGCACGAGGCAGGAGTTATCTCGTCACTGGTGCTCTCATTCCCGGTGACCATTTGAACTTACTAAGCCACGTTTTCTATGACTAAGGCCCTCCTCGTTCCCTCATTCAGTTGTAACCTCTTTTACAAAGATTGCCCTTCAGAATTTGTTTTGTTTAATCAAAAACTATTTAATCACATTCTGATGGGTCTTTGACCTTCTTAAAAGACTTGAAAAAAATGGATGTCATTTATAAACAGTGTTTCTTCAAATTTTGAAAGTTCCAAAGACGTTGAAAGTGTGGAGTTTTAGAATGTTATTGTAGTTTATTACTATACTGTACCCAACTTTACAAAAGAAGTTAATCTGACATATAGAATTATAACCTGGAATTCATGTTGCTTTTACAGAAAAAGACACTATGGACGTATGGTGCAATGGTCAGAAAATGGAGACGGCGGTAAGTTGCCTTCCTTTATCCTGGTGTGTGACAGTTCTTCATTCTGGAGCTTTTTAAAAATAATATAGAGGCAGGGGTATCCGGGTGGGGAGGGTGAGAGGTATACAGAGAGACCCCTCAGTCAGGTAAACTGCCAGGCAGGTGGTGCAAGGAAATGAGTTCGAATTCCCAGTGCCATGTAAAAGCTAGGCATGATCTCTCTCTCTCTCTCTCTCTCTCTCTCTCTCTCTCTCTCTCTCTCTCTCTCTCACACACACACACACACACACACACAACACACACACACACACACAGAGCTAGAGAAATGACTCAGTGGTTAAGAGCACTTGACTTGTTGCTCTTGCAGAGGACAGGTTCAATTCCCAGCACCCACGCTGTCTTACAAGTATCTGTAGCTCTGGTTCCAGGTGATCCAGGGCTTTTTCTCACCTCTGTGGCACCAACACACATATGGTATATGGATATACACGCAGGCAAAGAGTGTGTACATATTAAAAATTTAAAAATCTAAAACAAATTTTTTTGTTTTGTTTGTTTGAGACAAGGTTCTTCTGTGTAGCCCTGGCTCTCCTGGGACTTGCTTTGTAGGCTGGCCTTGAACTCACAGAGGTCCAACTGCATCTGCCTCCTGAGTGCTAGGATGGAAAGTGTGTGCCACCATGCCTCCTTTAAAAGAAATTTAAAAGAAAAATAATTTCTTTTAAATGAGATCGAATTTTAGAACAGTATCAAAGCTAGGGCTGTAGCTCACTAGCAGCACACTCAGCCGACACGGGTGAGGCCCAGGATCCGTCCTCGGCACCGCAAAACTGACAACAGAAAGGTGGGTTTCTAGAAGCCATTGTGGATGTCATTTGAACAGAGTAATGGGTTTCAGTTAATAAGAGCATGCAGCTTTAGGAAGTAGGGTAAAAGTAATGCTCATCTATGATGTGCTTGTTATCAGTGACTGGCAGGAAGCCAGCATGAAGCCAGCGCTCTGAAACCCCACTGCCTGCTCATAGCTACAGCAGTGGAAGCATGGGCAGCTTCCCCACCTCAGCCTGCCCCCGTCTGCGCACATGCACAGGCTGCCCGTCCCTCCTCTGCAGCACAGGTTTCCAACCCAGTATCATCACTGGGTGTGACGTTGCCAAGAAGCAGGGGTCATGTTAGCAACCCTTGCTGGGCCATCCAAAGGCTTCTGCTAAGGCTCAGTACAAAGTGCCCCAGGACATGCCTGGGCCACGCACATTACACACCCCCTAAAGACCATATGCTGGAGCAGCTCAGAGCCCTGAAAGTGCTTCCTCTGCCGCTCATGTGCTTGCTGTTTCTTAGTGTGGACTCCTGGCTAGCTCACTCTGTCCATCTCTGTGATGCTCAGATGTGCTGTCAGGACCCAGGGACTCAGATGCTAAGCAGAGCCTCCAGCACTGAGTCACAGTTCCAGCCCACGGAGACAAGGTTTAAGTCTGAGTGTGTTGCCCTTGCTTTCTGGGACAATTCATTTTTGTCCTCGGGCTCCTGCTTCTTATCTCTAGTACCATTCCATAGAAATACAATTTGAACCGTATGTATGAAACTTAGATGTAATTTCACCTTTTCTAGAAACAGCACTAAAGGGGAAGGTGGGTTAATTTTAATGTTTATTTTAAATCAATATATCGAGAGTGTTGTAAGGACTCATGGTGGTACACGCCTTCCTTTAATCCTAGCATTCAGGAGGCAGAGACAGGCAGATCTCTGTAAGTTCGAGGCCAGCTTCTTCAGAACTAGGTACTTCCTGGTCAGTTCCAGGACAGCCGGGGCTATAAATACAGAGACAGTGGTTACACTAGGTGCCCATTAACCTTAAACCAGGAGAGAGCTGGTTTTCTAGTGGGAACCCTTCCGTCTTTTGCTTGATAGGCCTTCAGCAAGTTAATAAGTATGTTGGTCTACAATTTCTGTGTCTATAAAGTGAGTATACTAATGATACTTGTGGTAGCTGTTGTAAAGACAGTTGAAGTGCTGAGAATAAGCTGAGAATAGTGTAACTGAGGAGGAGTGTTTTGATTTGCTCACCATTTTTAGTTTTGCGAACATCGTCTATACTGTGAACACAGCATTTTCTTCTTCTGAAACTTAAGATCCCTCAGGATTTTGGAAATTACAGCAATCCATGGGGCTCTAAACATCATCTCTAGGCTCGAATTTCACAGATGCATGTCTCTGTAAGTGTGTCAGATGCCCTGGAACTGGAGCTACAGACAGTTGTGAGCTGCCATGTGGGTCCTCTGGAAGGGCAGTCAGTGCTCTTAACTGCTGAGCCATCTCTCCAGCCCCATGACCAGTGCTTTTAGATGACGTTACTGTTCAGACAGAGCTTTCTGCAGCACTGACACTTCTTCCTTTGCTGTCCTAGGGCGAGTTTGTAGATGATGGAACTGAAACACACTTCAGCATTGGGGACCACGACTGTTACATCAAAGCCGTCAGCAGCGGGAAGAGGAGAGAGGGGATCATCCATACACTCGTTGTGGATAATAGGGAGATCCCAGAGCTTACTCAGTGACACCTTCTGAGTGAGTTCTGAGCTGAAGAGGTGACCTCAGGACTCGCCGGACGGCTGTGGTAATTAAATGTGTCAATATGTACATATTGGTAGATTTAGTCTGCAATGTTTTTATTTTTATCTTTTGTTACTTGAAACTGTAATATTCCAATGGTCAAAAAAAATAGACTCATAAAAATTTATTTTTTAACTAATGTAAAATGTTTCTAATTCAAATGGAAAATAAAATGTGAACCAAACCACTAACATCTCACAGTAGAAACCTTGACTGTAGTGAACACTGTAAATAAAATGGTGCTGCTGGCTGTGCCCACAGGGGGATTGGTTTCATATGGTTCACACCTGTGAGCTGGCTGTGCCCACAGGG